CAGCAAAGACTTGGATCACCTTGAGTTGCTCTGCAGTTTAGTGGGGTGGGCTGAGGTGGAATGGAGGATTTTGACATGGAGGTCCCCAGATACCAGCCCCAGATGGGCAGCACACACATCTATGTGTGTCTCATCTGTTTCTTGTTCTAGTCCCCAGCCCACGAGGCTACCAAGCCTCAGGAAGGACTGTTGTATTAACAAAGAAACTCTGGCTGTGTCATTTGGGGAAGCTGGACTATCTGCCATTACGTCAACTTGGTTACTAGACACTTGATTTGCAGGCCCTCACTTTGTCACCCGTGGAGTGGCATGATCTTGGCTCACTGCAGCCTCTACCAAGTTGGGACTATAGACATGCACCACCACACCTGGCTAATTAAAGAAAAATAATGTAGAGACAGGGTCTCTCTATGTTGCCCAGGTGGTCTCGAATCCCTGGGTTCAAGCAATCCTCCTGCCTTGGACTCCCAGTGTTGGGATTACAGGCATGAGCCACCTCACCGGGCCCAAGGGCACCTCTGACATAAGAGGGAGTGCAGGGGGTGGAACTAAGTGACCAGCTGTCATCGCCCACATCTCCTGCAGGCTTGCCCTTTCCCTTCTCTGCCACTGGAGTATTTCAGGAGCCTCTGTTCCTGGCAGAATTGGTTGCCAATGGGAATGCTGATGACTTTTTGGCTGACCCAGGGCACTGGGACTGACCTGTGAGGTCAATTCAGCATTTTTGAGTCCTTTCCTGTCTGGCATGTTGCTCGATGTTGTGGTGGGGAGGATCGGGAGGAGGGAGATGAAGATAAAGATGAAGGAGACAGTGTCCCTTGCCCTTAGGAGAGAACCAGAGTTACAGAAAATGTGACTTCTTCAATGGAATAACAGATTTAAAAAGAGACCAAATGAAAGTCTGGCAGCAGGGGAGGACCGGAGGAGGAAGGGCAGTGAAGCAGCGGTGTGGGGAGGTGTTCTTTTGGGGTGTAGAGCACTCCAGGGATGGAGGCCTGGTCATCCCTGGAGTGGGAGTGGGAAGTGAGTGTGGGTGGGCTGCTCAGCCTGAGCTCAGTCCGACATCCAGGAGTGACCAGGGCATACCCCTCGGGCCTCTGTCCAAGCTCTTTGCTGACCTGGCCAGAGCAGGGTACGCTGGGGTGGGAGGGCTGACTTCTTCCTCTGCCAACCATCTTGGCCTGGCAGTCTTGCCCAGCTTTGTACCTCATATTGACTAATCGTGGTTTTAGGCCATCCACGATGCTTCTCAACAGCCCCATTGTTCTGGTAAATTCAGAGGTCTGTTCTACGCTCAAAACGCTCTGTGGGTGCCCTGGGAGAGCTGGACATTTGAGCCGAGGCTAGTAGCCCACACGGTACAGCAGCATGGACTGAGGAACAGGGTGGCTCAGGCAGGTCTAAACACAAGCCTCACAGTAGGCTTGGGAGTATCCAGATGCCAGGCCAACTGGAAACTTCCCAGAACATCTGCTGGCTCAAGTCCTCCTGAAAAGCCACCATAAAAGATGCTCTATCTCCCAGCAGCACAGCTCAACTCCTACTCAGCTCTGGGTAACTTCATCATACAGTTTATGTCCCAAAGAAATGAGAGACAAATGTCTAAATGTCATAGTGTTTATTTAAATCCTGAGGTTAAAAAATATATTATTTCCACATGGCATGGCAGACACTATAAAATAATATGCTTGGGGATACAAAAGTTTTCCACCCCCATTGTGCAGGTGGGGTGCTGGTACTTGATGTGCTTCTAGATAATTCTTTGGCAGATAAGAATGAATTGGGGTCCCAGACCCGCCATCCTGTAAGGCCACATGAATTGAGGATTAATCAATTAAAGTGCAATTCCAAATGTTAAGCCTTCCAAATAAGGCTTGGGTGTTGCTGTGCAGCCACCAGAGGCAGAGTGTCTCTGGAAAACATACGTCAAGCAGTCTTTTTTTTTTTTTTTTTTAAATCAGAGATGCCTCCTAAAATTTCAAGATATACTTTATTATTTAAAAAGTGCTTAAGAGGAAAGAGAGAATTATTAATTCAGTCTGTTTCCTTGGAAGAAATGTAATAAAATGAGAAGAACTTACAAGGTTCCCCTACAAAGTGCTTTCTCGGTAAGTGTTTTGTAAACACAAATGGCTGTCTTTGTGTATATGACCATCCTTGGTTCTAAGCATGGCTTCTCTCTGCTTTAATTCCCAACACCTCTAAGCCATGGACAGTTGCTTGGCCTAAAGAATTCTCACATGTAGAATCACCAAGGTGCACTTTAAAAAATGAAACTCCTTTAAAATTTTATCAGTGGACATCCAACCATATCACAAAACACAGGCTCTGTGACTTCATCCCCAAATGGAGATTTCCTTTCATCTGGGCCTGGAATAGTTTCACCACCTTAGATGATCATTTTAAATTTCTAAAACATCACTTATTCTTGAGTTAGATGATTTGGCTTTTCATTTCTATCTTCGAAACCCTGTGGAGTTTCTCAGTTCCAGTATCTTTGCCTGCTCTTGGTCCAGTCCACCTGGAGTCCAGTTTGTTGAAGTCAGAAGCACTTTGCAGAGTCCACTTGGACCTGGGAGACAACGCTTTGTGCCAAACGTGCTTCCTTGTTTGCGGATGAGGGTGTCTGACAGAGGTTGGCATGTTCTTGAAGGTGTCTTCAGTGGCAGTGATGAAGAAGGCATCTGGTATCGACACTAAGACGTGACTGTTATTCAGAGAGATGGGCCATCAAGGGGCTGCCTTTTTTTTTTTTTTTTTTTTTAAAGAGTGATCTGGGATCCCAAGGATGCTTCCTTCTTGCCGATTTCTAGTGTAATTCAGTCTAGCCAGGGCTACCACCTGCAGCAGTGGTTCTTCAATTGTTATTTGCATTTTTTAACAAAGTACCCCAGTCCTTAATCCTTAGTAAAGCTGGGAACCTGATTAAAATCAGAATAAAGCTATTTATAAAAGCCACTCTTAAATATGCCAAGATGTTCTGTAGCTGCAGAGAGCACAGCAAACTTGAGCTTGAACAGCAACCTAATAAATACAAATGTCCACCCAGCACAAAAAATAAATTCGCTAATGAAACCACATAGTTAGGAAGTCACCTCGGGGCACAGGGCAGTCCTCCAAATGCAGCAAAGGCTTTTTTTGAACAACAGCAGTCAGTGCTGGAGGTGGTGTGCACAAGAGGCCCAGCTCTCCTGGAGGAGTGGTTCTGGGTAAGCTGCAACTGGTCCTCTGCTGTGATGAGTGACAGATATTCGGAAAGGACCTCAGATGGAATGTCCCGGGCCCCAAACCTGTTAGCTACTCAATGAATGGTGGTTCTTGTTGCATATGGTGCCAGTGACACTTCAGAAGGTCATCAGCTTGGCCAGAGTCTCTGCAGTATTCTCAGAAAGCTAAGCACTCAAAGATTCTAGATTGCTCTGGGTTCTCTTTCGTTAGTTTCTTTCTTACAGTGAACGAGCTGACTTCTGATTATCCTTTGCAAGAGGCTGGATGGATTCAAAGTTAGCACAATTCACTCTGAATCATCTCAGGCCATGTGGCATGCCTATGAGAACAAATGTGAGGCCAAGAAGAGTCACTGGAGACCTGGCCACTTCTATTCCAACACTGAGTATGGTCAAAGCCTTGGTCAGGGGAAGATGATTGAGCACCTGACAGCTTTCTGCCAGAAGAGGCTGTTCCAAGGAAGCCAAATACAAGAGGCCCAGCTCTTCTCTAGGCAACCTCTTTGAAAGGTTCTATTCTCCATTCCCCATGACGTGCTTAAACTGACTGGAAGTGCCCAACTCTCCTGTTTAAAGGTCTGAGTCCATTCCAGAAATGACCTCTTACTTGTGGCCCCACAAGAGTCCTCTTTGCTGGTGGTGAGACTGTGGCTGCTGGTGTGTGGTGGTTTTGGGGTCTCTGCTGGACTTTGCCTGGAGTCCCTGACCCATTCTCAAGCCCTCAAAACCAGCCAGACCAGGGTTATGACAAAGAGAAACTTTGGGAAGTGTGTGACTGGACTTGGGTCACAAGGCTAGCTGGAGGAATTGCTGGGCCCAGCTCCCAGATTCTCAGATAGCCTGCTCAGTGTTCTCTCCCTCACCCCTGGCCAAAGTGGGACCTTTTGTCAGATGCTCTGTTTACCTGTGGAAGAACCTAGGGCCTGACTGCAGGTAGCTGGTTCTGTGAACAAGGAATGAAGAGCTGTCCAAGGTGAGCTCTCTGTCATGGGGGAAAAGGACCACAGAGAACAGGAGGATTAACTAATTCTTGTGCGGGAACAGGGATCCCTCTGCTGTAAGGGGGGATGTCTCCTGGAGGTCAGGTGCGAGCTGAGCAGCAGGAAGTGGGCAAATAGGCTGTAGGGGAACCTGTCAGGTGGGGAGTAGGGCCAGGGATCCATCATGCTTCTGCTTACTCTGTTACTTTGGTTCTTAAGTTACCAAAGACTTTTGTTAAGAAGGCCCCAATGTTTGAAAGTGGTTCTAACCCTGGCTATGATTATTAGTAAACATGTCTACAGGTGGGGCAGAAGCTCTTATTTATTATTTATTTAGTTTTTGAGATGGAGTCTTGTTCTTGTCACCCAAGCTGGAGTGCATTGGCATGATCTAGGCTCACTGCAACCTCCACCTCCCAGGTTCAAGTGATTCTCTTGCCTCAGCCTCCTGAGTAGCTGGGATTACAGGCACCCATCACCGCACCGGCTAATTTTTGTAATTTTAGTAGAGACGGGGTTTCGCCATGTTGGTCAGGCCGGTCTCGAACTCCTGACCTCGTGATCCACCCACCTTGGCCTCCCAAAGTGCTGGGATTACAAGCTTTGGGCCACCACACCTGGCCAAAGCTCTTATTTATATAAATAAAAGTGGACCATCAGCTGAGGAGCAGCCCTAAAGCCAGTGCACAATTCTGCTCTGTGATCACGGCATCCACACTGGCTGGCATTTGGACGTTAGATGTAGTGAACACACAGCCACTGCAGACCCTCAGTATGGTGGGTTTTGTTCTTGGATTATCTTTACTTCTGATTCTTAGGGCAATGTTTTGAGCTGTGGAGAGGCCTGGCTGAGTGAAGGGCTTTACTTGAGGACAGAGTCACCCAGACAAAAGGGCCAGGAAGAGAGTGCAGCGTAGAGGCCCTTTCAACACTGCTGAGTTCTGGAGCAGCCCCCAGCTTACTGGGGCACTGAGGGACAGGACCGTGACTGGAGGAGGCTGGTCCAGATCTCAGGAGGGTCCCCTGGCACCCTGGCTTGCATGATGGCATGTGTTTCCTTTTCCTAGGAGTACTTGAGGGCCTCATAGCCTGCGGACTCACAGGGCATGGTCAGGGCAACCAGCTCAGGTCTCCAAGATGCAGGGCCCTGGTGGCGCAGGGCAGAAAGTCTCCCCATCAGCAGAAGTTGGGATCACCTCTGCCTGTGAAACCCTCCACAGGAGGCCTGGAGCCAACTGTGCTTCCAGGAGAGGCTGATGGTCTCCTGGGTATTTAAGCCTTTGGTAGAGCATCCCTTTGGGCATGAGAACAGCTGGATAGAGATCTACTACTTAACGGAAACACTGCCTGAGCCTTTCAAAGCCTCTGGGGCTAACAGTGACTGGTGCGTCGTGCTGAGCACAAAGTGCTCCCCAGACGCTGCCTCTGAGGGGCAGCCCAGGGGCCTCTCTTCCAGAGGGGCAGAGCTGATGAGTTTGGAGCAGCTGACTTTTTAAAAAAATGCTTTATGTGACAGGTGAGGAAGAGTAGTGTTTCCTGTGGATGAAGTGAAGCTACTGAGGTGCTGAAGCTACAGGAAATCACTTCCATCGTAGATCACGGGCCGATCAACCGTCAAGTGATAAAATACCTTTTTAGAGACAAACCTAAGGAAACAGAAATGGAAAGGGAGGGCGTTACTTGAGAGCTGAAAGTCTGAGGGGTGGCAGCTGCTGCTGAGGCCTCTGTGGTCATTGCAGTGACCTGGTTGTGTGGGTGCTGGAGCTCCGCACCCCATTTCCTGTCTGTCTAGTGGAGTTCTCTCCCTGTGAGGGTCAGAGGGTCTCAGGACATCACTGTGGACTCTCCTGAGGCTTGGGTGCAGAAATGCTCTTTTGGTCGCAGGCTGTGAATGTCACCTCCCTCACCTGGCTGCTCTGAAGCAGCTAGAGGTGGGGACTGCACAGTGTGTGTACTGGGGTGTAAAGAGCAGGCAATGGGAGGAGGCATATGGCGGAGGCCAGCATAGATTTTTTTCTGACTTGGCAGCTAACTCAGTTCTGACATCCATAGCTTGGAAATCTCAATTAGGCCCCTGAGATGACCTCAGTGGGTCAAGGTCAGAGTTTGCCACAGCACCATGGCCACCTCCAGGTGTAACTGGGAGCCTGCTTGGCCTTGGGATGGTGTTCTGCCCTCATCGCACCTCTCCTCCATGTCTCCATCAATGCGCAGTGTGGCTGCCACTGCAGAGGAGGAAATGGAGACTCAACTAAGGGCCGCTGGGGGAAGAGCAGAGTTTGGGCCTGGTGTTCCCCAACCACTGCCCTATCCTGTTCAGGAGGGGCTGGGGCTCATATCCACTCTTGGGGTGGGGGGTGGCTCCAAAGAGAGCTCTCTGGCCATGCTAGGCCTATGCCATGAGGTCCTGCTAACTCCAGGGGTGCTTTCATTTCTATTGGGGAGTGTAGGCAGGAGCAGGAGGCAGCAAGGTGGGAAGTTCATCTTCCATCCCCTCCTGTGGTGGGCACTCTTGGCCACAAGCCCTGGTAGTTCAAAGCCTGGAGGTGGTGAGGGGGTGACACAGTTTTCCCTGGTTATTCTGCTGAGAGCCAAGTACCCATGCTGGGGGTGTGACCCGTAGCCCAGGGTCCTGCTCAGAGAGGATGTGGCTGGAAACAGCTCAGGCAGGTCTCTCTAAAGAGCCAGCTCCACTTAAGGGGTCTGTGCTGAAGCAGAAGACATAAACAGGGGCAGGTGCCCGGCAATCCTAACCACGCTTGTCCACGAGCTTGGCAGATGCTCAGTTAATGTCGGTCCTCTCTCTGCTCCCCTCCCAGCTGTCCCTCTGGACTCATCACCCTCTATCCCCATTCTCCTGTCCAGCCTCTCCGCTATCCCCTAAACTATTCACTCCTGGACTTTAGCTGGTCCTCAGAGTGCTTCCCAGAGATGGCACCTGCCACTCCCGCCACCCAGCTAGGGCCTTCACCGTGCAGTCTTAGGCAGTCTCTGCTTATCTCAAGCTCTGTCCTTCCTTCTTTCATTTCTCCCTTTCTCATTCATTCATTCAGTCCTTCCCTGTATTTCCTGAGCCCCTTCTTTGGGCAAGGCAGTGGCAGGACAGTGGGAATCAACATCAGAGAGAGGGAAAGGGCACCTTGGTTATTAAGAGTTCAGACTGGCTGGGCCGCCTGGTTCAGATTCGGCTCCAGCCCTAGCTGTGTGACTTAGGAGTGTCACTCCTCTGCCCCTCAGCAGTGACATGGCGAGACTCTGCAAGCATGAGCCTGTGTGCAACAAAATCTCTTAACAAACACTGCAACACCACGGGAGAGGGGTCAATAATCAAAGAATGATGAATAATAAGTCATCGACAAATAATTGGTTTTGAGTGTCCACCTCTGCTCTTGAGAAGAGGTGGCAGAGAGGCCTGGAGACATGGAGCTAGTGCCTGAGGTGGCCCTACCTTGAGAAGGTGTTGTCAAAGATGAGCATGTAGATACCAGGCATGCGAACCTTGAGCTGGCCCTGGATGTTCTCCTTGTGGGAGTTGCATCGGGTCGTAGGAATGAGGACCTGGAAGGGAAAGCAGATACGCAAAAACATCAGAGGCTGAGAGGGCCCTGGGCATCCTCAGGGCAGACCCTTTATTTTGGGGGAGGAGGCTGAGTGTGTTGCCCGAGGTCACAGCCAAGCAGGGCTGGAGCTGGGACCAGCCCCCAGTAGTGGCCAGTGCCATCCCACACCCTGAGGCTGTTGATGACTCGTGGTTGTAAGTTTCATCCAGAATCATGACCTGGTCAGCACACTTAAGGAGTGATCCCCTAGCCTTGAACACAGAAGATGCTAGAACATTCCATGGACTATAAAGGAGAGGCCCCTTTCTGGCTTCAGGATGTGAAGCTTAGTCTAGGTAAGATCTATCTGTCTGGCTGTCTCCTGTTGGTCCTCGTGCTGCCCTTGGGTCTCAACAGGACAGGCTGAGTCCTCCTTCCAGATGACAACCTTCCAGGCACAAAGCTGCTAGGCCCCCTCTCCTCTAGGCTCGACACCCCTGGCTCCACCTAGGCCTCTCTGCTGGCTGTGCCCTGGCTGGTCCATGCGCCCCAGCACCCTTTCATCTTCCCACATCTGAGCCTCAGCCTCCTGTTCACTCTCTGCCTTCCCTGAGAATGAGAAATTAGTCCCAGGAGACATTGACAGTGACTTTTTTCCAGATCATTTTTGAAGGGCCTCACTGTCAGAGAGAAAATCTGTGCAAATGGTATGTGTTGGACAGGGCCAGGGTTGGTGGGGGAGGTCTTTGAATGGCTCACTTCTTCCCCACGAGGGCAGGCTCTTCAATTTGCTTACAAGCTAAGACACAGGCCTTATTTTAAAACTGAAAATATGCTAAGAGATAAGGCAGAGCCAACCAACCAACCAACATTTTTTTCCTTTTTTTTTTTTTTAAGATGGTGTCTCACTTCCTTCATCTCTCTCTATCCCCTGTGGGGCCTACAGAGTCCAGTATACAGCAGACACTCAATAAATGGTTATCAGTAGTTTACAAATACACAGCACAGTTCCTTGTGTCTATTCCTCCATAATCATGAAGCCTGAGTGCTGCAATTTACACTGCACCTGTCATTTCCTATAAGCCCCAGGCTGGTCAGGAGAGCACCCGGAGAGTCCCTGGGATAGATATTGAGGGCACATGTCTGGGAACAGGCTTCCCTGGCCTTGGTTTCTTTGGGGGATGTCAGGCAGAGATAACAGCCACTCCCATCTGTGGCTGGTGACAGTGGCCTGTGAAGGCAGAGAAGCACCTGAGCACCCTGTACAGGGGTCCCTTCTGCCCCCTGGCGTCACTGTGGGGAAAGGCAGTGGGGCCCCTTGGAAGCTAGAGATGAGGAAGGCTCAGTAGATCCCCAAGGTCCTGTTTCCTGGTAGACCCACACAGGAACCCCAGGCTGCTGAAGAATCGGTGGGTAGGGACTGAGCAAGGAGAGGCCCACAGCCCAGCCACATGTGGGCAGGCAGAACAGCAAAGGCCTGGATCCCTGATTTTGTCCCTTTCCTCCCTGCACAAACACTCACGGTGTCTGATATCAGGGTGGACTCAGGGCTGGGGGCACGGCAGGGCTGAGGAACGTGAGGGTGAGAGGCAAGGGCAACTGTTGGCAGCGCTGCCGTTTGTCAGTGTGGAGCTGATAGGCATGCTGGCTGCGCCAGGACCTCCTGGATGGAGGCTCAGAATCACTCCAGAAGGAAGGGCTCTGGAGGTAGGTATGTGGAGCTGGCTGTAAGTCCCAAAAGGACAAGATGGGCAGAGCAGTTTTAAATGAGAGAACACAAGACTCCAATAAGCAAGGCCAACCCAAGGGAGTAGAGTTACATTTTGAGAGTGAGTCTGAAAAGCAGAGAAATGACAAAAGTGATCCTTGCAATGAGCAGATTCCAACAGGGCAGGATGGCAGGAGAGCAAACCCAAGCGGGTACGTGTTCCTCTGTGGGATGCCAGCACCAGAGAAGGAACTGCTGTGTGGCCCACCGTGCCTCCTAGCTGGGCTCTCCTGCTCTGGGCCTTCCTCATCCCTCAGCCTCAAGCCCCCTGAGGGCACGCAGTAGACCAAACACACAAGGGACTAACAGTCCTGCAAAGACTTCACAGATCTCTTGTTTCACATGACTTCAGCTTGCTTTTCTCTATCTTGATCCTTGCAATTCTTGCAAAATGGAGATTTCTGTAGTCATATTCCCAGGCTGGGCTTCCCTTTCAGCTCCAGTCCAGCAGGCCCAACTGCTTTTACCATTCCTTCCACTCAGAATAATTCAAGTGGAACTTGTGTTTCCATCCAAACTGGCTCTCCTTCTAATATTCCTCTACACCCTTTCTCTGTAGAGATGCAGGCATGGAATTCAGACCCCAGGCATGGGCCTCCCTCCTCCTTGCCTCGTACTGAATCAGCCACCCACGGAGCCCTGCCCAACCTCTGTCCCTGTGATCTGGGTTCCATCCTTTCTACTCTGGCTTCAACCCCCTAATCTATACCAGTGGTTCTCAACTTGGGCCACTCATTGGAATCACTTGGAGATGCCTGGATCCCACCCCTAGAGACTCCGACTTAGTGGTCAGGGTGTGGCCTCAGGAGTGGAGTTTTTAAAAGTTCTCTAGGTGTTTCTAATTTGCAGCCAAGGTTGAGAACTACAGTCCTGGCACTGTCAACATTCCATGCCTAGAATGTCTTAGGAATTTATGAATTGATACCTGCCACCAAGATTTCAAGCTCGACCACCCAAGTGACACTGGGGTTGTCTCTGCTGATAACCTTCCGTGGAGATGCTGAACACCCTAAGCTAAAAATCAGAGGAAGAGAGATGGTGACCCATTCCTGTTTTGCACAGTTCTATTAGAAAATGATCCTTAAATTGAGTCATATGTCTGTACTCCTCTTTCACCTACCCGTCTATCCCAAGGGCAGACTACCTGTGTCTGACAGTGTGACCTTCAGACATTTGAAAACAGCTCTCCAGAACTTTTGGGTCTTTTTCTCCCCAAACTGGACAAGGCCCAAGTGCTCTACTTTCTCTGCATGACACGGCCCAGAACATTCCAGGTGAGGCCTGCCCAGCAGAGAGTGGGATGGCCACTGCCCTGCTTTGGAAAAGGCCTGCCCAAGTACCCAGATGTGTGAAGGAACCCACAGGCAGGGAGCCCAGCCATACCTTACACTCATCCAGTGGTGTGTCCTTGGCCTCCTGGAAGACCACGCTAAAGGAGATGCTCTTGGGGTCAGAGGAGAAGACCCAGCTGATGGTGAGGCCTGCCTCGGCCACAGTGATGGGGATCAGGCTGTAGGTGCTGGATCTCACGAACAGCTCCCTGCTGCCCTCCCCGAAACTGGCGATCTCTTCCACTGTGAGGGGTACTTTGATCCTAAAATAAAAATACAGAGAAGGACCTGATTGACGGGCAAAGCGTTTGTGTCCACTGGCCAGGTCGTCTGTGGCTCAGAGGTGGCTGGAGACTTCGGAGGCTCTTGAGAGGACAAGTGCCGGGTAACCCTGGCCAACATGCTTAAGTATGGGACAGGCAGCTCACTCCAACAAATGTTTCCTGAGTGCTTACTACACGCCTGGCATAGTTCTAGGCACTGATGACATAGCAGTAAAAAATAGAGACGACACCCTTGCCTGTGTGGAGCTGAAAGCCCATGAGAACTAAGGAATTGAGGATGGCCTGACCGGCTCCACGTCCCTCGTGGACAGGAAGTGAGTGCCGAGGTGCAGCTTTCTGCTGCTCTCTCGAAGGTGCCCTCCTGCTCAGCCGTCTGCTTTCTCTCTGCCATTTCTCCTTCCAGTTCCCTGCCTCACCCTTTTCACCTCATCAGCACAAGCCTCCCGCCCTTTAGATATAGTCCCTCTTCTCAGGTGCATCTCGCATCCATTGTAAGATTCCACATGCGCACCCTGACCTTCCCTCAAATGCCAACATCCCATACTCTTTATGATGCAGGGTGGCGGAAGTGATACAATGGTGTTGGGAAGAGATGCTTGTTCTTACTCTCCTTGGGTAGATAAAAGCTTCTTCAAGAAGTTTACAGGGTTCACTGACAGTGAGCTCCTCTGTGCTGGACCCAGAGTATGACGTGAAGAACGTGAGGTGGGTGGCCACACTGCATCCCTGCTGCAGGGCGTATCCTTTCAAAAGCCTCAGTTTCCTCATCTGCCAAACAGGGACAACCAGGCCTGCCTCATGACTGCTGCAAGGACTAGATTACAAGATGAACCCGGGGAGCTTGCTCCTCGGGGCCCCTTCCAGGCTGAGTGGTACCCCTCCTACACTGTGCAACTCCCGAGGCAGCTAGGTTAGCTCGCAATCATGGAGACAGGGCCTCCAGGGAAGAGCTGCAACTTAGGAGCGGTGTGGCCTTGGGTGAGTCAACTCACTCTGAGCCTCAGTTTCTCAACTGTGAAATGGGAAGGTGGCAGCCACCATAGGCCATGCCCTATGCTCAACAATTTCATGTGTTACTGCACTGGCTCCCTCAGGAAGGCATCACTGTTGCCATTCTACAAAAGAGGAAACTAATATGCAAACAGATTAAGAAATTCAATCCAGGCTCACACAGGTCTGAGCCAAAGCCATCATCTTTCTACCATACCAACTGCCTTTGTGGAGAAAATGTATTACTGTCCCCTTTAACACAGGGGCAGGAACTAAAGTTCAAAGAGGTTAGGGAACTTGCCCAAGACTGCACAGCAAGTGGTGGTGCTGAGGGCTCATCTGCCTCCAAAGCTGTGGAGATGAATGGACAGACTCCCCAAAGCTAATGAGAAGGGCAAGAAATGATTTAAAAACCAGAATCTTTAAAGAACAGCTCCAATACTCACCTTTGTGAGAATTCAATTCAACACAATATGTCTCTGTGTGTTAGGGTTTATTTCTGATTAAGAGCCCTCAACCAATATTTACAATTTTCAAGAATCTGAGGGTGGGTGCGGGGGTCCATTCTGGAAAAGACACCTTTCTCATAACGTGGAAATCTTAACATATTACCACAAAAAAAGTCATTTACTTGATATCATGCCCCATTGATGCTGGGGCATTTTACCATTTTATGCTCCAGAAGTTTCTCCTGGCACCCAGGTATTTGGATTGTGCCCCAATCATGTATTCTAGACATCATCTATTCAGTGACAAGGACAATACTCGGCCTCTCCAAAGGAGAGCTTAGCAAAAACAAATCAAGGGTTTGCTCAAATATAATGTAATCTTAAGACGCCTATTGTCTATAAGGCTCATGTCACAAGTGTGAAAAGGATCTGCCTTGGATCTGTGTGTTCTAATTATTCCTTTTTTAATTTCTTTTTTTTTTTTTTTTTGCTTACCAAAATCAGGTGGGATGTGTTCTAATTATCCTAAATCTCCTAACTTTCCTCATAACCTTTACTTGAGGGCAGGTTTTTAAAAAAGTTTTATTATACATGATTTCAAACATCTCCCTGTTCTTTCCCATTAACTGCCACTAAAAAACCCCAAAAATAATAATTCAGCAGTTGCAGTAAAAGTGAAGGGCAGGAGAAGGAAGGCGGAGTGACTAAGGACCCCCAGAACACGAGGAAAATCACAACAGCTTAGTGTCTCTGAGCCCCTCGCCTACATATCACACGAAAACACTCATTATCCTAACAGCCAGGAAAATCACAGCGTACATGAGGAAAGACAATCAACAGAAGCCGAGACTGACATCCATCAGATGCTGGAGTTATCTGTCAAGGCTTTTAAAGCAGCCATCATAAAATGCTTCAACAACAATTTTAAATGTTCTTGAAACAATAAAAAAAAAAACCACACCAAAGAAACAGAAGATATAAAAAAGAACCAAATGGAAATTTTAGAACTAAATAATTATAATAACCAAAATAAAAAAAATCACTGGACACTCAATAGCTGAATGAAGATGACAGTTATACTTGAAGAGAGAAAAACAGAAATTCCTCAACCTGAACAACACAGGAAAAAGAGAATTGGGAGGCGGGGTGCCAGGAAAAAGAACAGAGTCTCAGAGACCTGCGAGACAAGGACGAAAGAGCTCACATTTGTATCACGGGAGCCCCAAATGGAGAGGGAAAATAGAGTGCATCTGAAAAACTATTCAAAATATTCAAAAATATTTCCAAATATGGCAACAGGTATAAGCCTAGAGATTCAAGAGCTGAGTGTACCCCAAATAGGAAAAACTCAAAGAAATTCACACCAAGCCCCATCATAATTAAGCTTCTAAGAACAAAAGACGAAGAACATACATGTGCATGTGTCTTTATAATAGAATGATTTATAATCCTTTGGGTTTATACCCAGTAATGGGATTGCTGGGTCAAATGGAATTTCTATTTCTAGATCCTGTGGAATCGCCACAGTCTTCCACAGTGGTTGAACTAATTTACACTCCCACCAACAGTGTAAAAGTGTTTCTATTTCTCCACATCCTCTCCAGCATCTGTTGTCTCCTGATTTTTTAATGATCACCATTTTAACTGGCATGAGATGGTATCTCAATGCGGTTTCGATTTGCATTTCTCTAATGACCAGAGATGAGCATTTTTTCCTGTTTGTTGGCTACATAAATGTCTTCTTTTGAGAAGTGTCTGTTCATATCCTTCACCCACTTTTTGATGAGGTTTTTTCTTGTAAATTTATTTAAGTTCTTTGTAGATTCTAGATGTTAGCCCTTTGTCAGATGGGTAGATTGCAAAATTTTTTTCACATTCTGTTGGTTGCCAGTTCACTCTAATGATAGTTTCTTTTGCTGTGCAGAAGCTCTTTAGTTTAATTAGATCCCATTTGTCTATTTTGACTTTTGTTGCCATTGCTTTTGGTGTTTTAGTCATGAACTCTTTGCCCAAATGTCCTTTGCAGGGACATGGACAAAGCTAGAAACCATCATTCTCAGCAAATTGACACAAGAACAGAAAACCAAACACTGCATGTTCTCACTCATAAGTGGGTGTTGAACAATGAGAACACATGGACACAGGGAGGGGAACATCACACACTGGGGCCTGTTGGGGAGTGGGGGGCTAGGGGAGGGTTAGAAGGGAGTGGGGAGTTAGGATAGCAATAGGAGAAATACCTAATGTAGATGATGGGGTGATGGATGCAGCAAACCACCATGGCATGTGTATACCTATGTAACAAACCTGCACATTCTGCACATGTACCCCAGAACTTTAAGTATGATAAAAGAATAAAAAAGTAAAAAAAAAAAAATATTAAAAAAGACAAAGAAAAAACTTGAAAGCAGGTAGAGAGAAATAACATTATCTATGGGGGAATAGCAATTTGAATGACAGGGGACTTCTCATTTAAAACCATGGAGGCCAGAGGGAGGTAGCGGCACACGCATTTCAAATGCTGAAAGAAAAGAACTGTCAACTGTGAATTCTGTATCTGGCAAAACATTCTTTAGACATTTTGCCAAATCCAGCTGTGAAAAGAATTATACACCACAGCCAGTGGGATTTACCCCAGGTACGCAGGCTGGTTCAATATTTGAAAGTCAATCAATGCAATCCATCATATCAACAAGCTAAGGAAGAAAAAGCTTATGATCTTATCAACTGACACAGAAAAAAGATCTGACAAAATTCAACAGCCATTCACAATCATTCAAGTTCTCTTTTACTATTTCTAATTGTCACTGCTGTGAGTAGCATGCAAGGGACATTTTGGTAGCTTTATCTTTGCACATCTAGTCATTATTTCCCAGATGTAGGTTTATTGCATCATAGAGAAAATGCAATTCTTGAACTTTTGGTACATCCTGCAGCCACGGTGCTCTCCAGAAAGGGTGGCCCTGACACTTCATACTCCCCAGCATCAACGGCTTGTGAGGGGGCTACTTAATTCTTCCTGCTCGGTCTACCCCATAATTGAACATAGTGTCTGTCTGAGTGTGGTCCAGGGTCACCTGAGAACTGCTGGAATGGGTTATCTATTCTCTCACAACCACATCTAACCCGTCAGGAAATTCCGTCTGCACCATCTTCAAAATAGGCCCAGAATTTGCCCTTGTCCTCTCTGCCAACACTTGGTCCAAGGAACAAGGATTCCTCTAATACCCTCCCAACAGTTCTCCCCTCTTCTGCTCTTGCCCTCCATCATCTATTCTCCACCATGGCAACCAGAATGATCCTTTTTCGTATGTAAATTAGATCGAATCACTCTTAATGCTACAAACCTCATTTGGGGGGGTCCCATGTCCCTCAGATTCAAAGTCAAAGTCCTTACAATGACCGACAAGGCCCTGTGTGCTGGGACCCTCATTCCCACTCTGACTCCGCCTCCTGGTTCTCTCTGCTGCAGGCACACTGGCCCTTTTCTCAGTCCCTGAACATGCCAGGCACCATCTCAGGGCCTTTGTGCTGCCTGTTCCCTTTGCCTGAAATGCTATTCCCTCAGATATACGCCTGGCAACTCCTTCACCTCCCTCAAGTCTTATCTTCTCAGTGTCCCTCTATTTAAAATGGCAAATTCTCCTTCCCTGTTATCCTACTTTACCTTTTTCCATAGCAAGCACCACCTTGCAACATTGATACAATATTGACTTAATTATGTGTATAGTTTATCGTCTATCAACCCTTGCTGAAATGTAAGCTTGATGAGGGTCAGGGGTGGGTCTTTGTTGGTTTTGTTTACTGACATACCCTAAGCACTTAAAACAGTACCTGGTACATCACAGCTAATGAAAAAATATCTGTGAATGAATGATTGAATCTATTCAATGACAATTATGCAGCCCGTGGACATAACACTAGAGAACTCGATGATAGGGAAAAATACTCATGCTACAGCAAATTTTAAGAGACTACAAAATAAGATTTAGAATATTTGTTTGTGTTAAAAATTATATGTATGTATGTGTATAAAAAAGACTAGAACGCTATAAATCAAAATATTTTGCTTATCTCTATTTTCCTAATTTTTTACAATGAAAGTGTTTTGCTCATATGATAAGAAAATTAACAAAGTTATTTTGAGAAAAGAACACGGGGTGTGGGAGGAATAATTATAAAGGGGCACGGGGAACTTTCCAGGGTGAGGAAACTGTTCTATATCTTAACTGTGGTAGTGATTACACTGTAACATTCATCAAAATTCAGGCACTGTATACTTGCTTGAATCTTAATGCATATAAGCTATACCTGAAGAAAAGGCATAAGCTGAAGCCTCACTGGTTCCAAGTCAGAGCCCCTGGGGCGGTCCCCAGTGCTGGCACTGGAGAGGCCAGTGCTCCTCCAACGCCAAACCAGGCAGCAGCTGCCACTTACATTAGTTCTCCAGACTTCAGCAGGCAGATTTCTGCATCCTGCCCCACGGGCATGTCTTCAGTGTCCTCAGGCGTTAGTGAGGTTGATGTAGTGTCCCTGAAATGCCACAAATGAGAACACAGACATTTAGCTATCAACACACAGGGTCTCACATCCTGGGGTCCACAGTCTTGGAGTCATGTAGCCAAATTCAGGTGCATGGAGAATCCTTTAATCGCAGAGGCCGTGACAGAGGCCCCAGCAGATTTTGTGAGTAGAGGGAGGGCCGCAGGGGCCAGGGCCAAGCAAGTGGACAGGGAGAAGACAATAGGGCTACAGCAGTTTCCCTGGAGCAGCTGTAGGGAAGAGACCTTCTGCTATAGACGGTGAGTGGAATCACAAATCAACCACTCTCCTAGCCCACGCCAGCAGAGCTGTTGCCACAGGGCCAAGGTACCAGCGCCACTGGGTCCTGCCTTCTCAGTGCCAGTGCATGACTAGAGAAGCCTCTGGCCCATCCCTGAGGCACAAGAACAGGCACCCAGGGGAGGTTTTTAACACCGTCTCAATTACTGATCGTTGGAACATATTGGCAGATTGCAGTCCCTGCACTTCACTGATGGGGACACAGAAGCCCAGGCAGTTCCTCAGAGGCAGGGCTGGAGGCAGAACTATACCCTGACAGCAACTTAGTGCTCTCCCTGTGGAACCCTAGGCTCAGCTCAGCCAGGTGCTTATACAATCTCAGGTGCCTAAGAGCCCAACCAGCTCCACTCCCCAGTTCTGACAAAGAGGAAACCTAGTTCCAAAACTAAGGCTTGCCCTCCTGTGCCGGCATTAATGCGGAAGATCTCCCACTCAGTGTGGCTTCTTTTCAAAATGCTGAAACAATCCATGTTCTTCCAGGAGCTGAATGCCACCAGCCCTGGGCAGTGGGGGGCTCCGTCTAGCTGGAGGTCTCTGTGGCCCCCGAGGGCAGAGGAGGTGGTATGACTGTGGTGGGGTCCATCAGGATTTCAGCTTCAGCAAGGTGACTAACTGTGTGGCTCAGGGTGAGCGCTTTCCTCCTGAGACCCCGGTTTCCCTTCTCTAAATGGAAGGAGATGGAACTGGATGGACTCTGGGTTCTGATGGCTTGAAAAGGCTGTACATTTTAAAGGACTCAGAGGTAGCACTTTATGGAGCCCACTGACTGAGAAAGAGGTGGGCTTGCTCTGGTAAGCAGCTTCCTGCCTGCAGCCTCCCGTGCTCTTCTCAGGGAAGGTGCAGGAAGAATGTGGGCTGCAGCACCTGCTGCCACCGGGGGCATAATTTGTCACTTTGGTGTTTCTTTTTCTCCCTGGCCTCAGCCCCCTCTCTGTCCTCCTCCTTGCCTAACACCTCCTTCTTTTTGCTTTTCCAGCTACTGGTTTCCAGGCCCCCAACCTCACCCTAGGACGAACAGAAACAGGGAACATCAGTGCAAGAAGCTGCTCAAGGAGCCAGCTCGTGCAACCACCCACTTGGTAACAGGGAAGCAGAGGTCCAGAGCAGATAGGCCAGGGTCACTCAGGCCTGCTTTCATCCTTGTCCAAGGCAAATACCATAAACGAGATAAAGAGATAATGTAGGATGAGACTCTGAAAGCTGTAGTTGGTTCTCCCAATTTTCCTGCATTCAGGATAAAAGATATCCTAACATATGATCTCTCTTCATCTATCACCCTCCTCTCTGACCACAGTGATGACAGACTGCCTGATGACAGACAAGCAGACGATTCACAGAGCAGGTTTCCCAGACCTTTGCTGGCCCTGGTGGACACGCTACATGAGTGACGTGGGAGTGAGATGGGTGGGTGATGCAGTCTCAAAGGTAACAATTAGGGCAGAGGGCTTTCTTCTCAATAGGGTTTCAAACTGCAGGTCATTATCCATTTATTGGGCTGTGAATCAATTTAGTAGGTTATGACCAACATTTAGAATAAAATAGAAAATACAATAGTATATTGCATGTTACAAGGGTAAGTACTTATGAGGCTTGTTTTGACCGTATGTGTACACACATGCACACTAGATAGCCACGTAAGATGTATTTCTTACTGTGGGATGCCCTAGAAAATGTTCCAGCAACTCAGAATACCAAGGGATGTAAGAGCTTGAGAAGGATGGCAACCAAAGCATGATCACTAGAGGGCAGCCCACCCCCTACTAGAGCTGCTTCCTTTCCTTGCTACTGAGGTAGAATCAGCAAAGATAAGATACTCACTGCCCACGAAGCCTTCCTCCTCCCCTTGCTCTGGTCATGGCAGCCTACTGCTAGCTTGGCTGATGGCATGCCACCCTTTCCTTCTCAGTTTCTGCAGGAGCCTGTGGTCAGTGGAGCTGAATATCTCTAGAACACATATTCCAGTCTGTCAACTTGTCTGTCCCTTTGCGGGTTTCACCCTGGCATGCCTGGGCACCTTGCTGTGCACACAGCCCACGCCCAGTGAATGTCTACATTATTTGTCTCAGAGTAAGGTTTTCTTCTGTCCCAAATGCTCCCAAAGGAGGACATACCCAAGGCTTCCGCATTAGGAGCGAGTCAGGATAAAGTGTTGGGCACAAACCAGGCAGTCCCGGGCACTGCAGTCCTAGAGTTCACATCTCTCTGCGTGAATCACGGTGGAGCCCCTCCAGCTTGGTCTCTACAAACGGAGTCTATAGTCCTTCCCAGTCACAAATCAAATGGCCTCAGCCTGCTTGTTATGTAATTACCACACAACTTTAATCCTGCAGGCTGCCTGCAGTACAGATCTTCTGCTTGTTTAGAAACTAGCAGAGGGAGGAACGGACGCCTGGAAAACCCCTATGGCCCAAGGTGCCTTGCTGCCAATCTTACCCAGAGGGCGCCATCTCCCCTCAGCCTCGCTAAGCCCGGCAGAGTGAGAAGTGTTGCTTTTTCTGATTGCACGGTCTCCTCTTGTCCCTCTGGTCAGCCTCCATCTGTGAACAGTCTGCCGTGAAGTGGAGGTGACTTCAGTTTAGAACTGTACTCTTCAATACAATAGCCACTAGCCATATGAGGCTATATAAACTTAAATTCATATATTAAACTAAACATTTGGCTCCTTGGTTGCACTAGCCACATTTCAAGTGCTCAGTTATCACCTGGACTGGTAGCCACTGTGGTCAGTGCAGGTACAGCACAGGCCTCTCACAGCAGAAGGCTCCACTGACCAGAGAAGGTTTGGAAGGTTGGGCTGAACCACACCACACACATCACATTCACTCTGCGATCTGGGGGCATCTTTTAATGTTGCTATCGATTTATTATTATTGTATTAACTTGATTTTACTTTGCCAATCCATTGCTTATAAATTCCTAGTGTTAAGAGTAGGTAGCTAGGCAGACACGAGCAAGGCACGAGAGGGCCTCCCTCCCCCAGGAATGTCAGGTGACCAGCAAGTAATGGTTGGGCAATTGTTAAACTGTCTCTCTAAAATAACTGGTTGCAGCCAGAGCCAGAGAAAGAATCTTCCAATAGATAGAAAACATCTGAAGCTGGTAACCAGCAGTGTCCTGGTAAGATCTCAGGAGCTGGGCGGGTGGGCACAGGATGAGCACTAACAGGCAAAATGGCAGAGTTTAGCCAGTCCTCTAGAAACATTCGACTGGTAAGGGAAAAGCACCTCAGGTGGGCATGCATACAACTCCAGTAAACACACTGAGCATGCAGCCCCTAGTGCTGGCAAGCCTCCAGGCTTGCGGACAGCTTGCACTAAGGGAAGGGTCGAGGGAGAAGAAACACAAAGCCTGGAACCATGCCAGTGTATAAGAACCTCACATCATGGGCTGGACGGGGCACTTAGATCTCAGGTCACCTGTTTGGCCCTCTTCCAAGTATACTTTACTTGCATTTGTTCCTGCTCTAAAACTTGCCTCAATCTCTCCCTCTGCCTTAAACCTACTTTTGCCCCTTGGCCAAATTCTTTCCTCCAAGGAGGCTAGACTCGAGTTGCTGCAGACCCACATGGATTTGCTGCTGCTAACATACTCTGGCGCCCGTGACTCAGATACATAATTCCTAGTAGTAAGACACTTCTACACCTCACCTTCTCCCGCTGGAGGTAGTCAACCTCAATACGTGGATTCCTTCTCCTGCTCTCCTGCTTATTAACAATCCCCAGATCAATACCTCTCAGCCATAGTAGCTCTGCTCCCACCAGAGCAGTAAATGTCTCATCTGAATCCTGGAACAGATAACTTAGCAGCTCTGCAATGTGCGGGAAAGGAGAGCAGGCCAACAGCCTGACTTCCAAGATAAACCTGCAGCAGGTATGTCTGCACTTCCCTTTTACTCTTACCCCAATTTTATTTAGAAAATGTTTAGGTATTTCTGGGGAAATCTAAGACACATATGATTGGGTACCCACCCTTAAGAAGTTTAAAGTTTTGTTTCAAATAAAAGTAATGCCCTTTAGACAATTAACACTACAAACTGGCAGACAATAAAAGGCATTTTGTAAATAAAAGACATTTTGTAAAATAAAATTTTAGCCCCGAACCTGTGAGTAGCTCAGCTCCTCAAATTTAGTTGCAAGTCTTTTGTACTACAGAGAAGTTTCCATTAAAGAATGGCCATGATAAACAAGCCATGCTTTCTCAAATATTTCCATATGAACATGTATACACAGTCATGTAGGGCTCTAGGTGCCAGCCTGTTTTCCCCATGGAGTAGAAAGGCTTGCTAAGAATAGCATGGCCAAGGGTGTCTGATGAGGCTCAGGCCACTCTAATACTGCTCTATGGACCTGTCTTGAATGGCATGGTTGACTTGTACCTAGGTAAAACTCAGCCCTCAAAGCTTAAAGATTCCTAAATATTAGGCAGGGTTACTTTAAATTGCCATCCTGCCTTGAAAGGTCTCTTTCAGAAAGACAGGGATCTATTTGGCTCAGTCTATTCCTTTTTTCATTCATTCACCACTCCCTGCATCCATCTGTCCATTGGTATGCAGTCTATGCAGCCTCATGGTTCATGCCCATAAGGAACACCTCACTCATTTGTACCAGTTTGGTAGAAAGGATAGTCTGAACTAATTCACTGAAAAAATGCCTGCAAACCTACTAGAGGTCTTCAGATCTGTTATCACAGCT